AGCAGGATGATTCCCTATGGGGAAGGTTTTTCTCATTTTCCTTTCTCTCTCTCTCTCTCTTCAACAAGTGTTTGCATCCTCTAGCAAATTTATAAAACGAAGTATGGGTGAAATTTTGGTTGCATTTTGAGGGATAGAGAGGATATACCCTGAGCTCTTCCCTGCCTCATCCCTGCACTACCTACCCTCTAGCATATTTAAAAAACAAAAATTATGGGTGGAATTTTAGTTGTATTTTGAGGGATAGAGAGTATATACCTCAAACTCTTTTTCCCAGGGAGGGGAAAAGTATGTGTGAGGCGGGACAAGGGGCAGAGGGTGGATCCTGCTCTCACAGACCTTTCTGTTTCTTGTTCTTCATGCTCCTGATACCCTAGGCCTTCCTCGAGGCCCCTGCACACCCTGCACCACTCCATTTTCTTCGGCAGGCCCTTGTTCTCTCCTTAGCCAAATTTCATTTTCCTTAGTGAAGATGATTGTACCCACCAGCACAAAGAAAAACAGTCTTTGCTGAACAGATTTTGACATTTGGCATATGGTAGGTGAGTACCTAATAAATGCAGATTATTTAAAGAAGATGAGAATTCAGAAGTGATTCATACAGACCACAGCTGTTCCTGTCAGGTGGCCTACAGAGATGCTGCAAGTGTTCTGAATGGTTCTGGGTGACAGAAGCACAGGTTCTCGCTGCACAGATCTTTTGCTGTATCCTGCATTTCAGTATTCTGCCGAAGCTGGCGTTGTAGTGGTAGGAGGAGAGAGGTGGTGGGGGAGAGCACAGAGTCTTACAGAGTTTATTATATAATTTAGGAACCCAATGAGGTGCTTAAGCAGGTGGGCTCCCCCGCTGATCTGTATCTCTCTGCTCTCATTTGTCCCTTGGATGAGAAATTGCTCTCTCCCTTGGATCACAGGCCACTAGCCATTCAGATACCTGAAGTGTGACGGGCACGCGCCTCACCCAGGGCTTTTCACCTGCTGTTCCCATGCTTTCAATCTTTTTCCCATGGGTCTGCATGTGACCTGCTTCCTTCCTGCTCTACAGTCCTGGGTCAAAAGTCGTGTTCTTTATGTTCCGAGAGGATACTTACCTGGCTACCATGTTGAGGAGATTCTCCTCCCATTCACAAATTGGAGCCCCTCCCCCTTTCTTCTGTTTTATCTTTTTTCTGTAGCACTTACTACTAGCTATCATAGTAAACATTGTTCCTTTTTATCTTTTTTGTCCTCTCTTGTCCTTCTCCCATGCACTAGAATGAAAGGCCACAGGGCAGGGATTTTCGTTCGTTCCCTCATGCATCCTGGCACCTAATTCAGTGCCTGGTATGTAGTGCGGTTCAGTAGTGTCTACTGAATGAATGAAGGAATGGCGGTGTGATCAGTTTCTTACATGTAGAGAACTGGTTGGAGTTGGGAGGTTTCTTAAAAAAGGACATAGACAGATTCTTCTTGTAATTGTATGGGAGTGAGGAAGCAAGATGCTGGTTGCTTTGATTAAGGTGTTGTTGGTGATGTTGGCAAGATGTGGATGGAAGGTATTGCCAGTCTTCTGCTTTGTTCTTAAGGCATCCATGTGCCTTTGAGTGGGCGTGGAAAAGAAATGGCTGCCTTCTAGATTTAAGGGTCTGTATTCTGAGATGGTGTCTAATTTAAGGCTGTCTGAGGGGTGCTGGTGCTAACTTGAATGTGCTTTGAGGGTTTATTTGGCCTCCCTCATATGATAGGAGAGAGGAAGCTACTAGAAACTCAGATCAGCCTCCACCACTTCTTTCCCAAAGTGTACAAAAAAACAAAGGGAGGTTTGCTTGAAACTAAAACTTTTTTTTTTTTGTTACCTAGGAGTATTAATGCAAAAATGCCGTTTTAAGAACTTGAAACAGCTTGGAAAGTACTATATTGCTGCATCCTATGTAAAATATCTAGAGTCTGCAGGTGCAAGAGTTGTACCAGTAAGGTATGGTTCAGCGTGTTTTGCATTACATATAAAGATTGCTGTGTTTTATCTCTACAATTAATGCTTTCTCTTCTGTGATTGCATCGTTTAAACATAATCACATTGCACTTGATTTTCGCTACAAACCTAATACTTAGAGTTTCGTAGTAAATCAAAGCCATGTGTATCTGTAATGTCGGTAGTGGTGTATCGTATATAGCATTGAGAACTAAATGATGGTTTTCTTTACCCCAGAGAAGGTAGTCCTCACAGACACCGTGGAAGTACTAGAGTGAAAGAAGCTACAGTGTCAGCAGCTTTATCCTATCATATTATGATAAAAGAACACATAGGGAGTAAAGGAGGTTTTTAGAAAATGACTTTTATGATACCTTCACACACTAACAGTTTGTAAATGACTAACACAGCAGTATTGCTATGGTATAAATGGTAAGTGTTCCAGTTTTAAAGGAGCCGCATTATTTTTGGAATAAAATGACCCAATATGGGATAGAATGATTCATCTCATATTTTTATTTGGGATAAATGGTGTGTGTATTTATTTTATCTTGTCTGCTAAAATCAGCACATTTTAAGGCTCCCACTACCATCATCTAATCCTTCGTAAGTGATTTCACACACAAAGCACAACTATTAGGTCGTTGGAAAAGTCATGATGCATTTTTTTCTGTTTTTCTGTGCAAAAATGCATTTTGCCTTTTACAACAATCCAATATTTACTCTGTACAACTTGTTTTTATAAGTAACTCCTAATTAAAAACTTGTAACAAAGAAAAGTACTGTTCAAACACATTGATAATGAGTAAAATACACATTTTATAATTTATAGAGTTGTACTACAAAATTATCTTATGTTTGGATTAAGAATTTCTTCTTGTTTGGTCTTTTGCATTTAAATTAACCCCCTTATCCCAGGTGAACATTTCCTTTTAACATTAGCCTTTAATCTGTATTAGAGCAGATCTAATTTCACAAATGAAATCTTATTTGATTCCAGATAATATCACTTTTAGAGCTAAGAAGGAAGCTTCTGAGAGTCTTTAGAGTAACATTTGAAGCAAGCTGCTCTTTAGGGCTATTAGTGGAGATGGGACATTGGAGATGGAACATTGGACAACCCAGTCAGAGACTGTTGTAGCTGGCTAGGTGAAGGCTTGCTTTAGAGGAGTGGAGAAATAGATAAATGTTCTATAAACAAAATAAGACATGATGACTAATTAAATATGAGAGCATAAAAAGAAAGAAATAGATGAGAATGACAGAAGTTTTGAAATCGGGGAGGTTTTGAAACCAGATGATTTGAAGAATACAGATATTTATGACAGGTTAAGAATATGACTGCTGTAATCCAGGTTAATTGCCAGCTTGGGTTCGCAGAGTTTATTACACGGTATATTGCTTGGAATTGGAATCATGTGATCTGGCAGTAACCATGTAATACCTGGCAACTAAATTCTCAGACTAGCCTGCAAAGGCTTTCCTGATGGAGAGTGAGACAAATGAATGAGACCGAAAACATTGGGTCTATTTTTGAAATTTGGATGCTGAGACCAACTTCTGTGGTTTGGGAAAGAAAAAGCGGAGATAGGAGACCAAGGGAAAATTCTGAAATAGATAAGGCAGTTTGTCTTTGTCTTTGGTCTCCTCCTACCTTCTTTTTTTTTTTTGAGAGATTTTTTTCACTATAGGGCACGTGTGCTCTCGCCAGACAGACAGAGAGAGATATAGAGACAGAAAGCGAGAAATCACCCCCCGGGGGGATGGTCACGCCGCAATCCCTTCTCCTCCATTCTCCCCTTGGGATCTTGGGCATGCATGTACACGCGCCCGCGCCCAGCGTGAGTTTTAATCCATCCGGTCCGGGACGTGAACCACAGTCGACTATGTGGTAGTCCAGCAACATAGCCATTACGCTAACTGCTGGTTCCCATCCTACCTTCTTTTTTCTGATACCTTTTCTCTTAGATGCTGGGTGCTCTCAGGTTATCATAAATTCTGTGAGACTAGTGGAAAACAGAGTGTCCTGCCTCCTGAGAGGTAGCAGGTGGCAGCCCAGCAACTGCTATTGGATTAAAAATGTGTTTAGTTCGTATAGCATTTTAAAACATTTAGACATACTTACAAATCAGAAGACTTCATAAACGGCTGAGTTCCTGGCTTCCTTTGAAGACAGTTATCTAGACTAGACTTTACATGGGATGGGGCAGGTGCAGTCCATCAGCAGCACTGCCTTTCCATGCTGCTGAAGCTAAGTGTCATTTGACATCATTACCAGCCTTCAGCCATTTCCTTCTAGGTAAGGAGAAAGTGAAAGGGCTTTTATTTTAAGAAATACCTGAGCGGCCAGCAGGTGGCATCGTGGTTAAAGGTGCTGGACTCCCACATGGCCGACCGTGGTTCAAGTCCTGGACTTGGGACTTTCTCACTTTACCTCTCTCTGTCTGTCTCTCTAATGTATTTAGAATTGATGAAATGGGACTGGCCCTATGGCCTAGTCATTAAGGAAGCTGGATCCCTCATGGCTGACTGCAGTTTGAATTCCAGCACTCACAGCTTGAAAAGCATAGTATGTTCCAAACTTGGACAGGGTGGAGAAATGGAGTAGGAACTGGGCGTGACCATGCCCAATTGGGGGGCACATCCTCCCTGTCTATCTTTCTGTCTCTCTCTTGGGAGTGCCTGCATCTTCTCACCATCAGTCAATCAATTAAAAAAAAAAAAAACTGATGAAATGACTCAAACTAGCCTGCCTAGCTCAGCTGGCAGCAGTCCTTGGAGCTCAGCTGAGTGACCTAGATTCAGTCTGGTCCCTAATGGTGGTAGTTGGAACATTCTGGGTTCTGACTGGTTGGTTCCTCTTTAGTTGGCACAACCTGGGGTGAGATTGGACTGGGATAATACGAAAAACCTCGGGGTCATGTAACACCTTCCTATCACTTCCCAAAGGAGGGCTGCCTGCACTTAAGACAATGGCAAGCACTATTCCCGTGACACTCACTGCTTTGTGGCTCTTCGCAGGGTGATTTGCTATGACCTTCTGGGCAGACTTGGACTTGTAAAGCTTATTTTGCTTAGCGGAGAGCCCAGAGGGGTTTCCTGGCAAGGCTCAGCCAAGTTCTGGACATCACAGGTGTCTACTTAATAATAGGAGAGGTGTTCAAACTCCCCCTAAAACTTTTTGTTTTTGCTTTAGAGGGCTCATGCACTCGCCAGAGAGAGAGAGAGAGAAAATGGAGAAAGTACTCTGCCCAGCCCATGGGGAATGGTCACACCACGATCTTATCCCCTTCATGTCTCCTTTTGGTATTTTGGGCACACATGCACACATGTCTGGCGTGTTTCTCAAGCCAACAGGTCTGGGACTCAAACCATAGTCAGCCATGTGGGATCTACCTGCCTTACCCAACAGGATCTGGCCCCTTCCCCTAAAACTTTTCTATGGGGCCGCAATGGACCGTAGTTGACATCTGATCATAAATCTATTTCCTTAGGGGGCAGGGTGTGAGATCAAAGACTATTAACTGAGGAGAGTTCTTACAATGATCTCAGAAACATGCATTCTTCCCTTGCTCTTGCACATTATTAAACTTTTGGAAAAGCAGTCATTTTACTGTGATTTAATTAAAGATTGTTGCAAATTCTCATAGATGATTCCATTAGTTTTCTCTGGAGATAGGGGTTAAAATCACCAGTGGTGGGACCAGCAGTTAGCGTAATGGCTATGTCACTGGACTCCCACGTAGTCGACTGCGGTTCGTGTCCTGGACCCAGTGGCTTAAAACTCACGCCGGGCGCATGTGCGTGCGTGCCTAAGATCCCGAGAGGAGAATGGAGGAGAAGGGACTGCGGCGTGACCATCCCCCCTGGGGGGTGATTTCTCGCTTTCTGTCTCTATATCTCTCTCTGCCTGTCTGGCGAGTGCACGTGCCCTATAGCAAAAACCTCTCCAAAAAAAAAAATCACCAGTGGTGATTGTTAGAGGTGATTGTAACATGGTGATTGTTGGGAGACTGATGGGTATTTGATCAAGAATACTTTACAACAGATAATTACCTGACAGTTAGGCCAGTCTACAGTGATCTGTCTGTAGTCTGTCACTAGATCTGAACTGTTCTGACTTTTGAATAGACAATAGTCCCCACACCATTGCATCTAGTTGGTGGGAGAGGAATGAAACAGGGACTTGACATTTATTTGTATTGTTTTTATCTGTGGGAGCTGCCAGTAGTTAGGATAAGCATGATAATTAAGTTCTTCATTTAATTTTTACATGAAACTATGACTAGACTTAGACTTCTTTTATAGTTCTTAGCTAGCAGTGAAATTATTGGTGCCCAAATCTTATGGTCTTTCATGTTTCACATATGAAATTTACTTCACAATATTAAATTACATAAGACCACAGAAAAAACATGTTCATTTGTCTGATTACCAAAACACAGATAAAATTATGTGACTATCACGTAGATTGAAAAATGCCTCGAGGAAGTTAGAGGTAATATTAATTTGTTTTTAAGAATTATTTTTTATTGGCTTTTTAAAATTAGTGTGATGATTTTATTTAGAGGCTTACTTTTTCCCTTAGGTTTCAGAAATGGATGTTTTATAAACTGTTTTTATTGTTTTCAGGCTTGATCTTAAAAGAAGCGAATATGAAAAACTTTTCAAATCTATTAATGGGTAAGTGAGCATTTTGAGTTTGGTACAGTGTATGAATATTTACTTTTGTGTCTGTTTTTGCAAAAAAATACATATAAGTGTTATCTATGTTTCTGAGTATCTACCTCAGAGTGGCATAATATTGGTTTTCTGAGTTCTTTTTTAGGAAATATTTTGTTAGGAAATGCAAAAGTCCCACAAAGAGAAAGAGGCAGGTTAGGAGCTTATCTAATTATTACGTAGTAGTAGACTCAGATTTATTAATAATGTGTACATAAACATTTTTAATGCTTCACTGAAACTTTTAAAAATAACTTTGAGTAGCATGTAAATCTGAGACTTGGTTATTTTTCAGAGCCGATCTGAATAGATCTTGGTCAAAATTTTCTAAACTCTTGCTTTACAACAAAATATATTATTTTGGGGCTGGCAGGTGGTGTGGTGGTTAAGGACAGTGGACTCCCACATGGCCGACAACAGTTCGCGTTTCTTTCTCTCTCTCTCTCTCCCTCTCTCTCTCTCTCCCTCTCTCTCTCTCTCTCCCACCTCTCCCTGGTCAAATTAAAATAATGAAATAAAGTTAAATAAAATAATTATAAAAAAAAGAGATTAGTTCACAGAAAAATACTTTTAATCACATTTAAAAAGTTTCACATTGCTCATAATATAAGAAAGGAATGCTAATTGTAACAGTGAAAACTTTCAACCACCACTGGGCAAATATCAGAAAATTTTCTTATACTGTATGGGAGGGTGTGAGGAAACAGGCATTTTTATACTTTGTTAGTGGTAATGCAAATTATGTGGACTTTTTTTGGGGCAATTTTGCAATATCTGTTGAAATGAGAAATACATGTACTCTTTGATCCAGGAATTTGAGAAGTAATTTTATTTATTTATTTATTTAATTATTTCTAAAGATTTTTTTCTATTGGTTTGTTCACTTGCTGGAGGAAGACAGAGACAGAGAGAGAGGGAAAGTGAGAAATCATCTTTGGGGTGACTGGGAGGGTGGCCACGTCACAGTCTCTCTCCTCTAGTCTCTTCTTGGAATTTTGGGTATGCGTGCACACATGCCTAGTGAGTTTTTCAGGCCACTGTGTCCAGGTCTGGAACCATGCAGTCAATGTGGGATCCAGAGTCTTAACCACCATGCCACCTGCTGGCTCGAGAAGGAATTTTATTTAACAAATACATTTTTGCCAAATATGTGCACTATAGTATTGTTTGACAGCCCTCTCTTTCCCAATTGAGAAATCACATAGTAGTCTGTTAACCAGCTGCGAACTGGTTCAATAAAAAAGATTATGTACATTTAGTAGAATACTGTGCATGGGTTCTGCACAGTAGATTTCTTGGTGTGATCTATAGTGCTGCATTGGGTTACTAGTGTCATGTGGATGTTGTTATATTGTCATGTGAAAAAAGGCAGGCAGGCCATGGCATGTATGGTATTCTCTGTTTGCTTTTGTTTTTAAGGTAGATAGATACATAGCATATTTCCACCAAATCAACAAATTTTAAAGGTAGTCATTTCGTTGTCGTTGTTTTTAGAATTATTTTATTTCATTTATTCTCATCATTATTATTTGTTTTTAATTGGATCAGAGAGAGAGAGTGAAAGGGAGAGTGAGAAAGCAAGACTCCAGGTCCAGGACTTGAACCATGGTTGGCCATGTGGGAATCTAGCCCTTAACCACCACACCACCTGCCAGCCTCCAAAGAGGGACATTTCTACTTGAGAGTTGATGGGATGTCTTGTTTATTTATACTGTGAAGCTTTATTTAAAAAATTATTATAATTATTATTTTTACTTTTAAGAAACATGTTCATCTATTGCTTTTTGAAAAGAGCTATATTCAAAAGAAATTTGTCTTCAGTTCAGTTTGGTTCAGTAAATATTTACTGTAAAATCAATTCAATTAGTAAAACATTTGCACAATGCCCACTGTGTGCAAGGTTCTTTGAAATGGACAAAGATAAGTGGGCCCAAGGTAGAATGTAATTCAAGAATCTCAAAAGTACACTTTTGAATCACTTAAATCCATTCCTACCTTCTCCCCACCTGCATTTATCTTTGGAAAGGAATCCAAAAAAGTGATATTGGCAAGAATAAATATTTTTGGTAGCCAGCTTCTCTAGGTGTTCAGTGCGTCTTTGTGGAAACCAACAATGGTTCTTAAATTGACAAGAGAGCCTGTTCTGTGTCTTCTCCACCGATGCCCTGCACTGCTACCCATTCTCTCCCCTGGAGGCCCACCCTTTCCTTCCTAGCATACACATGGAAAGCTGGGCTCCAGCGTCGTGACACGGGGGCCGTGTTTTCTGCTTCTGAAAGACACCAGAAAATGAGCAGTATTTTAATGCTACTTCAAAAACACCTTTACTGAGTCCCTAGTATGCAGTGGACCTCTTAGTACAGTGTTTAGTGGGGGAAAAAACAGAGAGCCCTGCTTTAAAGGAATTTGGCATTTAGGAGAGACTGTCCAGTTTTTATTGTGTGAAAGAACTTCTGAGTTAGACGTACCAAATTGGTCAGAGGAAGCTTTTTAAATGCTGATTTAATGGAAAACAGTAACTGCTAATGAGTCTATATTAAGCTACTTTTAATTGCAGAGTTTTTTTTGTGGTTTGTGAGATGTTCTGTTGTACCAAACTTTAAATATTTTCTGTTAGACTGTGATCTTCCTAACAGCAAAAACTCTCATCTTTGTCTCTTCAGGCTAGTACCAAACCTGGTTCATAGATGAAGCAGAATATATTAAGTGAATATCAGTCTTAAATGTGATATTTCATATATCTCAAATTCTTATTTAAACATTTTTAAAGTTTTAATATGTTTAATCCAACTTTTATAATCTCTTGAATATCTTTAGTTATTCCAAGACCTATTTTAAAATTCTAAAATTAATTTTAAAAGTATAAAAATGTGGTAAATATTTTTCTATATTTTACCTTTATGAATTAATAACATAAAATCAAATGTTCTTAACTCCTCATTTTCTCTAGGCCTTTTTTAAAAAAAAAATTTACTTAATTTTATTTATTATCTTTTTTTTTTTTTTTTTTTTTAATTTGCTACAGGGCACATGCACTCACCAGAGGGAGAGAGACAGGGTGGGATGGGGCATGAGAAAGCAAATTGCCAGGTCCAGGACTCGAACCTTGGTCAGTATCCCAACCACCACACCAACTGCTGGCCCCTCTAGGCTTTTGTAGAATCGTAATTGTAATTGTTTTCAAAATTTCTTTTTTTAAAGGTTTTTGCCATGGGGCATGTGGGCTTGCTAGAGAGAGAGGGACAGAGAAAAGTGAGAAATCACTTCCCATGGCCATGCTGCAGTCCCTTCTCCTCTATTCTTCTCTCAGGATTTTGGGTATGTATGGACACGTGCCTAATGGGAGTTTCAAGCCACTGGGTCTGGGACTCAAACCAGACCGTGTAAGAGTCCAGCGCCCGAACCACCATGCCTCCTGCTGGCTCCTCAAAATTTTTTTTAGTACTGTGCTTATTTTTGAGGCGATCTCAGCGTGATAAACAAGAATTAAGTTCTTATAGAAGCTTAACTCTAGCCTAAATCTATTTTACGACCTGTTTGTTTTATGTAGTTAAAAAAAATTATTCATGAACGGTAACCTAGTCGTAATTATGGACCCATCATTGAGGCATTACTGGTCGGTTAATGTAAACCTAGCTACACCTAGAATTTTGTTTCTATTTGATTGCTAGCTCTATGTAGTCTCTTATTGTTCCCGTATTTATTTACTTTTAAGTATATATATTTAACCATTCAATTTCCACACTCTATTCATTCAGTAAATGTGTTTATTGACAAAGCTTTGGAAGACTATGCATTCAAGTCTTTGTTAACTATGGTAATTTCTGAATATCTAGGATTGTAAATATTTTATATTTTCTTTTTTGCTTTATATTTTTCTAATTTTCTTTAATGATACTGCTGCTTACAAGGAAAGTTGTTTTATAATAAAAAGATAGTTTCTTTTGTGCGTTTATGTGTATGGGGGGCAGGCAGAGGGAACTGCAAAATGGACCTCATTTGTTGTTGTTTCAGAATCCTTTTTCCTGGAGGAGGTGTTAACATCATGCACTCAGATTATGCCCACGTGGCCAAAATATTTTACAACCTAGCCATACAGGTATATATCAGATATTGCTTATTATTCCAGATGGGTTTTGTAAATGTCTTTGAGCTTCCTTTCCAGTGACCCTAATTTCATCACCTTTAACCTTTGAGGCAAATTTTCTCTCCTCAGCTACCCAGCCACCAGCTGTCGGTGTGCTTCGCCCAGTCTGGTGTTCCAGGGAACCTTAAGAATCAGTAATGTGAATGCCACGCTCATGGGGCTTAGTATTTCTCTGTTTTCTCTCTCTCTTATTTTTTTGTTATGTACTGGGAATTATTCCTGTGTTATTCTTATCTTCTTTTGAAATCTGCTCTTCTTCTCAATCCAGCCTTTCTTCAAATTTACCTTAGACTCCATCTTTACTTGCCATGCAGGGCTTCTGATGTCTTCTCATATTGGGGCTGCCTTTGCACTATAGTGCAGACCCTTACTACTTATCTCCTAATTCATCTTTTTGGCCTCATATCTTGCCAGTGTCCCCTTAAATATTTCCTTGAACAACTGCTTTTGGTATTTGAAACCTTCTCTTGGGACCAGTTGTTAGTGTAATGGCTATGTCACTGGACTCCCATGTAGTTGACCATGGTTCGCGTCCCAGACCTGGTGGCTTAAAACTCACACTGGGCGCATGTGCATGCATGCCCAAGATCCCAAGAGGAGAATGGAGCAGAAGAGATTGTGGCATGGCCATCCCCCCTGGGGGGTGAATTCTCACCTTCTATCTCTCTGTCTCTGTCTATTTGGTGAGCACACATGCCCTATAGCAAAAAACAAAACGAAACAAAAAAAACTCTAAAAAAACTTCTCTTAAAATCTTTTAATTGCTAGCCTTAATATCTTGTAGCCTTGGGACCAGCAGTTACGTAATGGCTATGTCGCTGGACTCCCATGTAGTCAACCGTGGTTTGTGTCCCGAACCCGGTGGCTTAAAAGTCATGCCAGGCACGTATGCGTGAGTGCCTAAGATTCTGAGAGGAGAATGGAGGAGAAGGGATTGCAGCGTGGCCATCCCCCCTGGGGGGGGGTGATTTCTCGCTTTCTGTCTCTCTGTCTCTCTCTGTCTGTCTGGCGAGTGCATGCGCCCTATAGCAGAAACTTCTCCAAAAAAAAAAAAAAATCTTGTAGCCTGTGATAGCCTTTGGTTCCAGATACATAGTGTGTCCACAGCTCACCTTTTCTAGCTTGTTTAGGAACTTTGTCTGAAGACCTGAAGACAGATTGAATAATAATTTACTTATGGATCCTGGAAAATTTCTCAGAAATCTGTATATAACTCAGGTGCCCACTGGTCACGAAAATCATATGTGTAGTTTTTGTTTTGAAAAGTTTGAATAAACATAAGTTTTCTCTCTCTCACTCTGCAAAGAGTTTTGATGATGGAGACTATTTTCCTGTGTGGGGCACCTGCCTTGGATTTGAAGAGCTTTCATTTCTCATTAGTGGAGAGTACTTACTAACTCCCACAGAAACTGAAGGAAAAGCAATGCCACTAAACTTCACTAAAGGTAAGACTAATGTTTTCAACACTTCAGAAAATGTTTACTGCGTAGGATTAGTAAGTAGTGAATATCAAAGTCAATAATATGCACAACATTAACTTTAACTTATTCACACAGGTTGAAAGTGTGAATGATTGCCTTTGTACTCATGAAGGTGACTGAAGGAGTTTTGAATTTTTTTAAGACAGTGTCTTGCCATTGCAATACTCCTGCTTCACTGCTAAATGCAACTATTGGCATATGCCAATAGGCTTGGCTCATTTTCTCTCTCTCTCTCTTTTTTTTTTTTTTTGGAGAGATTTTTGCTATAAGGCACATGTACTCACTGGAGAGGGAGCCAGAAAGCAAAAAAATCACCTCCCAGAGGAGATGGCCATGCCACAGTCCCTTCCCCTCCATTCTTTTCTCAGGAATTTGGGCGTGCACACACACACATGCCTGGTGTGAGTTTCAAGCTACCAGGCCCGGGACTCAAACCACCGTCAACCATGTGGAAGTTCAGTGACATAACCATTATGCCCTCTGCTGGTCTTGCTTGGCTCATTTTTAGAGAGGGTCTTGCTATGTTGCCTAGGCCAGGCTCAAGCTCATGGTTTTCCTGCTTGAGTCTCCCTGGGTTGCTGGATGACAGGTGATGTCTGTACTCTTGGCCTTAAGGTGGGATTGAGAATAGAACCTTGGCCTCCCATGTGGTTCCAGCTTGTGGAGCACAACATCTTGGCAGCATGCATTAACATGATTGGACAGAAATTTTTAATTTTCGTAACTTATTGCTTGTAGTAATTTCAAGACCTGTGTGTGATAAAAAACAGTTTTGAAATTGAGTGTGGTTTGAATCCTTTTTTTTTTTTTTAAGATAGAATTTTGCTATTGGTTGTGTGTACTTGCTGGAGAGACAGGGAGAGACAGAGACAGAAAGTGAGAAATCAGCCTCCCGGGAAGATGGCCACGCTGCAGTCCCTTCTCCTGCATTCTCCTCTTGGGCCTTGGGCACATACACATGCACCCAACATGAGTTTTAAGCCACTGGGTCCAGGACTTGAACCATGTTCAACTATGTGGGAGTCCAGTGATGTAACCATTATGCCATCTTTGTTTTTTCACTTTGGCCTTGGGGAAGCATTTAGCCTCTTGTATCTTCAATTTCCTCATTTGCAAAAGGCCTACTTATTAGAGGCTTTGGTGAGAGCTTTGGGGATGTTTTGTAGGTACTGTGCTAAGTATTTTGAATACAACTCTTGTTAATGTTAAGTACTATTTTTAGTGTCCACATTTGCCCCTTGTCTGTGTATTCCGTTTCAACCCTAACTAGGTATACTGTATTAATCCTGACACTAACCATCTAGTTAGCCCAGATGCTGCAAGTTAGAGGGTATGTTCCCCGGCAACCTGCCCATTTCAGATGCCATCTTGACCACTCACATTTCTTACCTACTCCTATAAATTTAAGGATTCAGAGGATCCCCGCATATTTGATAATTTACAAGAATGACTCACAGAACTGAGGAAAATGATACCTTTTCTCACCGACAAGGAATTCCAGGGAGCTTCAGTGTCCAGGGTATTTCTTGGAATTTAATTATGAAAGCATATGACTGAATCATTGGCCATGTGATTGGACTGTGTTCAGCCCCTCTCCCATCCCCAGAGGTGGGGCAAGCTCAAAGCCCCAGCCCTCTGATTATGTGATTAGATTTTATGGTGATTAACCCATATTATGAAATAATCCAAGGGCCTCTATCAGTCATCTTATTAGCATTATAAAGATAGTCTTATCACTGAAGAAAAGTAAGGATTTTAAAAGCTCTTTGTCAGGAACCTGGGACATAGACCAGACATTCCTTTTTTTTTTCTTTAAGTTTTTGCCATAGGGCATATGCACTCTCAGGAGAGAGACAAAGAGGGAAAGTGAGAAATCACACCCCAGAGGAGATGGCCATGCCACAAGCCCTTCTCCATTCTCACAGGATTTTGGGTGTATGCGTGTGCACGCACACACACACACATTCTCAACATGATTTTCAAGCTGCCAGATTGTTTTTTTTTGGAGAGATTTTCACTATAGGGTGTGTGAGCTCGCCAGACAGACAGACAGACAGAGAGACAGAAAGCGAAAAATCCCCCCCCCCCCCAGGGAGGATGGCCACTCCGCAATCCCTTCTCCTCCATTCTCCTCTCGGGATCTTGGGCACGCATGTACACGCGCCTGGCATGAGTTTTAAGCCACCGGGTCCGGGACGCGAACCGTGGTTGACCATGTGGGAGTCCAGCGACATAGCCATGACGCTAACTGCTGGTCCCAAGTTGCCAGGTTTGAACTGCCATGTGGAAGTTCAGTGACTTAGTCACTATACCACTGCTGGCCCCCAAAGCAGACATTCTTTATTAGACCAAATATATTGATATATAAGTAAGTAATGAGTCTTACAGGTTACTTGATCTTTGCCTCTTGAGAATTGAATACTCTCAACTTCCTGTTGGGTTTCTTAAGGATTTCTTGTTCATGGGCTTTCGGAAGGAACGTAGTGTCAAAAGAAAAATTTTTGATAGATCTGATTTAGGAAAGTTTAATCGAGCAAAGAAAGATTCAAGAATCAACCCCCAGAGCTAGTTCTGAGGAACTCAGAACAACATTTATGTGTTGGAAAAGGAAAGTGGCTTAGAGAAAACAAATGAGGGAAACAGCTAGGTTGATTAGTGTGGTGTTTGTCTAGTTAATCACATTTTAAACAGTGGTCCATATGTGACTGACTATAGCAGGGCTGCAGTGACTCAGCTATTTTTTTAAGGAAATGGACACATAATTAGATTTGTTTGTAAGGACTCAAATACATGAGTATGAAGGTCTTCTCAGGCCTGTGTAGTTTGGTTTAATAGTAGGTTGTATCATAGACTGTATAGAATGCTGTATACTTTTGAAAGCTCTTTTTCCCATTATCTCACTTAATCACTGCAAAAGCCCTTGGAAAGTATGTGTACTAGGTAAGACTACTTTGGTCGTGTGTGGCAAAAACCCAGTTTATACAAAGAAGTAATGTTTCAAGGTACTGGGGTTATCATGGAAGCCATTAGTAAGAAAGGGGCCTAGTTTAGACCAACTGGTATCAGAGCCTTGAACACATCAGAGTTTTTAGAAATGTCTTTGTTGGTATTTGAGTCTGTGTTTCTGAGTACAGAGCCTCCAGTGTTGCTTTTTGGGATCTCTTGACTGATTCGATTTAGTTTGGCTTGGGTAATGTTCTTTTCTTTATTGTTAGTATTTTTAAACCTTTAAGACCCAGATATCTTTTTTTTTTTTTTTTAATTTTTGAGAGTTTTTTTTCGCTATAGGGCGCGTGCGCTCGCCAGACAGACAGAGAGACAGAGAGACAGAAAGTGAGAAATCACAGGGGGGATGGTCACACCGCAATCCCTTCTCCTCCATTCTCCTCTTGGGATCTTGGGCACGCATGCACAGGCGCCCGGCATGAATTCTAAGCCACCGGGTCCAAGACGCGAACCGTGGTTGACTACGTGGGAGTCCAGTGACATAGCCATTATGCTAACTGCTGGTTCCCAAGACCCACATACCTTTGAAAGTACTTGGAAGCATTGGATCCTTTCCTGGAAAAACAAATATATACACTTGTGGAAACTTGACCTGTTTTGCAGAACTGAGTTTAGATTCTCTGCTTCCTCTATGGCTAACCTACTAAATCTCATATCAGAAGAATTATATTTAAATGTTAAAATTCTAGGGAAAAGATACTTAACCCTGGAGCATGTTTGAATGTATTGTGAAACACATATTTTCTTTGATTGGAATACTTGCGTGGAAATGATGTGTGTTACTTAGCTAGTCATCGTAACTATGTCTTAATGGCAAGTAAGTGACTTAGGTGGATTTTATTTTTTCTTGTGCTTAGGTTATTTCTTTTGTGCTTAAATTGTTACAGGGACACTGGAGAGCAAAATGTTCCAGAATTTTC